GCACGATTTGAGCAGTCTATCCGGTGAACATCGTCCGAGTTTCCTCCTGAACGGACTCGAGAGCTCGTGGAGAGATCGGCGAGTGGAAGATACGATTGCGGCGCGGCGGAAGTGGCGCGGCGAGGCGAACAAGAAGAGAGAAGAGCGAGACGGAGGGAAGATTGCGAAGGAAGACACGAACTGGGACTGGAAATAGAAGCTCGTTCCGGGGAATTTCATCGGTGCGAAGGAACGGGAGGGAGGAAAAGAAGAGGAAGGGAACGGAGAGAGAAGCATCGGATGCGAAAACTGTTGAAACTGCGATCGTCGCCGAACAACCGCGCCGGTACGCGTGGCGACCACGATGGATTTAGAGAGTTGGTGCACAAACTCACGCGTATGTATATTCACTTATCCGTGACGCGTGATTCGCCTGACGATGATACTTCTCTCGTCTGAGGATGTTACTATTGACTCGAATCGATGTTCGACTCGTCGCTCCCGAAAATAAAACAAATTAAACAACCACGACACAAATTGCATAAAAAAAATCACTTCGAAGAAGTACCTACGTGAAGTTTTTTCGACAAGCTTCATTTCGAAACTCCTCAGCTTTAACGTAGAGTTTTTTATTTGTTTTCTAATATCAGAGCGTCGTCGTGCGTGAAAAAATATTTATTTTTGTTCAGATCAAAATTATCTCTCTTGCCTCCGTTATCGCAACAAATATTTTATTAGACACAAATGGATTAAAACGAGATATTTACAGCGACTGCGTTTTAAACGTTTCGATTGGATCGCTCGATTAGAGCGACGACTGTTTGCCCAGTCAATATAGAACGACGTTCCACTAAAATAATTCTATTCAACAATATTCACTTTCTTCCGTTCCGACCGGATGCGAAGTGAGGTGGTTTTTACAAGCGACAAAAAGAAGAAGACCGACCCGTTCCGATCGAAGCACTCGTACTCGGAATCACACGAGAGATCCTCACGGGCGGAAGAGGATTTGGCGAGATAGAAAATTTTTAAAGGAAAATTGTAAAAATTTCTCATTCTCTACAATCTACCCTCGAGAAATTTTAGATGCGGGATCGTTCGCTAATTTATTTTCAACTGGATTGCGTATAAAAAAGAAACGCCGGAAACACTTCCGCCCGGAAGACCGAGAGAAATTGGAGCAATTTTTCGAAGTACGAAGTTTTTGTTTTAAGTAGACCCTCCTCCCGCCACATTAAATATAACCGAGTTTACTTACTCCACTTTGTAGAGAAGGCACGGTAGAGAGAGTTGCATAACCGCTTTGTGTGACGTGATGAAGAACACCGCCCGTTTCGAAGTTCCGCCCCTACTTCGCGGCCGTTCCTCTCTACATACATATCTTTTTTTTTATTCGCGCGAATAAAACCAAACGGAGACTACAAAGCGAGCATTCATTTGCGAGCACCGCTGCATCATGCTCATTTCTGCGTGTTACATCCCGTCTTCCCGTGATTACACCTGTGTGTGTCGGTCTACACGGATCCTTAAAAACAAAACCGAAACACATATGTTCCTTTATTGCATTTTTATAAATCAGTTCGCTCGAAATGATCTATTTTCAGTGCGCGAGAGTTTTTCGCGTAACATCAAAAGATGCGCCGTAAATCTGGACCGGAAAGAACGATGCGCGTAGTTAACGAATTTTTTTTCAATTTCACTCGCTCGGTTGAAATAAATTGTACGTTTCATCGTGCAACAAAAAAAAAATTAAAAAGTACCTCGACGCGATTCTCAAAGGAAAACAATTTCCATCGTTCTCATCGCGGCAATGCCGCTGTTTGCGCATCGTATTTCGTTGCTTTCTTTCTTTGTGCTAACTCCACGAATTTCTACGATTAAACGGAGACTAGAAATGTAAAAAATACGTTTATACGTTCTTTTTTTATCGGGAAAATATTGATCCAAGTCAATTCGCAAGCCACTTGCTGCGATTTTGACACTGACGTCTAGATGTTTTCCTCTCTTTCTTCCCTTTTCCAGTCGTCTCTCTTCGCTTTAAGTCGATCGACAAAATATTTAACGATCAGCGTATATTGAAAAACGAGAAGTTTGTGCATTTAGCTCACGTATCCGTGCACGTCCGGTCATAGTTTCCGGCCGGGGAAACATATCTTAAAAACGATTCGTGTATATTCGTACATATACTTCGGCGGATTGAAACATTTGGCCGTTTATCAGATTTCTTCTTTCCTAACGAAATATAAACGCAAGTAAGAAAAACTTAACTATATGTGCAGAATGACTTCGAAGAAAACGATTTCCTACACTGAGAAAAAAATACTATTAACTCAACTAAATGCGTTTAGTTGAGTTTCAGTTTGTTATCTGAAATACTTGGTTTTTTAATTCAAGCATATGGTAATAAAGATAACAAATTCGTATAAGTTGAATTAACAATAGTGGTAATGTACATATTTAATTCNATTATAATTTTGTTAAAACAACTAAATTGTCTTTCGGTATAACCTAATTATTATATCTATTGAAACATGATATCTTCTTACATTAATCAATATTTTATTGACAGCCCGTGACCGCTGCATATAGTTGAATCAAATACTATTTTGTTACTTCAACAACTTTTTTTTCTCAGTGTATGGAAATGTGGACATTATTCATGCGTTGATAACAAACGGCAAGTACTCATTCGAATTTCAATGACATGTATTTATTAAAAACAGACGTAAAAATAAGTCGACTCGGCGTAGTTGCCCTATCTTCGAATAGATATAGAAAATATTGCGACAAACGAAAGTTGCTGCATCATGTTACGTGCAACTTTTTTTTTTTGAAGAAAGCATACGTTCGCACACATCCGTATTTGGCATTGATTATTATTTTCATTGATAAAAGTGGCGACCGTAAAAAATAGTGAAACAATGATGTAACAAAATTCGGGTAAAATGAATTATAACAAATTTATATTTCACAAACATTTGTAAGTGAATTCGTAATTCTCAGTTCAAATATTGAATTCCCATGATATTAAATAGCTTCCCCGATATTCAAAAATAAAAAAATAAATTTATAAATTAATGAAACAGTTAATATACGCATATGAGTTAATGAAATCGCATTACTTCTCTCGATCAAGGTAAATATTAAAATATTGAATGTAAATATATAAGATATATCGAAGGTAAATATTAAAATTAATTGAAAGTGTCATTTACACAGATTTTTTTTTTACGATATAACGTTAATCTCTTAACTTAATAAATCCTGTAAATATTTAATGTCAAATAACCTCGTAATTAGAGCTACGTTTTCCAATTTCCGCTGATTGTAAACAAGAATCCATTACAACTTGTTGAGAAATAAATTTCGTTGTTACTAATTACAATTAAAATACAAATACGACACGGAATCGGTATCCAACGGCAATTAAAGTGAACGACTCTTAGCCGCGTTTTGATTAAAGTGGAATTGTGTTTCGCGCGACTACGTCTCGTTCTTCGCGGAATTTAATTTATCGGGTCAAAGATAGATTAAAAAAATAGAAAAAGAGAGGGAGAGAGAAAAAAAGAATGAGAGCACGCACTGCTCTGTTATTAATTCATCTATATCGCGGATATCTCTCTCTGAACACGGTGGAGGTTCTTTTTTTTTCATTCGCCTCAGAAACATGTTCGTTAAGCTGCGGTAACCCGCTTTTTTCATCTCTTCCGACGAATCCATTATGGATCTTATTCACGGATTTCGAAATCCTCTCGTCTGCGCCGCTGTTCTGCGCGTATATAACTCGAAATAAAATTGAAAATTTCACTATAATAAAAATTGCAGAAAAATTTCGAAAATTCTTGTCTCTCTAAATTTGAGAAATTTCGTGAATTCAAGAAATCAGTTTTGTTTCAATTTTGTTTCAAACAAGCGAATCGCTTCTAAAGTTTGACGTACATATGTGTATGTGTGTATATACGTGAATATTCGCAATCGCAGCGATAGAAACCAATCGCGCGCAGGTCGAAAGTATACGAACATATAAACACACAACATCGATATCCAAATACAGACGGTCACTTTCAAGCGTCATGCTTCGGCAAAATTCCGACTTGACAACAAGAAACACGATGATTTAGGATTGTCGCGAGATGAAAACACGTTCGTTTGTCGCGGTTTTTGCAGCAAATCAAAAGCTCGTCGGAATTGCACCGGTTTCAATCCACGCGCATGTGGCACGAATTGACAGATATTATTAATGTGTTTGTATGTATACATACTTGAATTCAGAAGTGATCACGAATGCTCGATACTCAATCGTTGTTGCCCAGTTGTTGTTGCTCTCCGTTCCGTTCATACATTCGAATCGGCGGCGATTTTCTCTCTACACGTATCATCCGCAAAACACACGCTATCAGACCACTTACGTATCACCAGAGAGAAATTAGAGTGGCCATCCCAATAACCACGGCAGCACGATCGCGGTTTCGCTGTTATGCCGTTTTGAAGCGCCACGGTGATGAACATTGGAAGTACGAAGCCACTGAATCTTCTCAGTCGTTTACACCTGGTTCTGTTCCGTGCTTCTCTTCGACCGAGCAAATGTAAATTAATTATTCTTTTGGGTAACTGCTTACGCTAACATCCTCACTTTCTGTTGCTTACTTGATGTTCGCATATCTGTAGAAGCGTATAGCATGTTGTAATTTTATTGTTTCATATTAATTAAATAATGATCTAACAATAAGACGGCCTAAGTATCATTTCGTTTTTTTTTTGTGTTCTCTGAACCTTACGCTCACGTTTTATTTCACACAACACATACGCAACACAAGACATTTTTGTCAAAAATTTAGATTCGCAAAGTATATGTATGTTAATAACAAAGATAATATATATGAATAAACTTTGGAGAAATGTGTGTAATAAGATTTTTATATAAGCATGCATGTATTAAAATGTTATGTGTGTAAAATAAATATTTTAATAAATAATATTTATATAATAAGATTTTAATAAATATCTTGTTATGCTTGTTTTATAATATGTACAAAATGCGTTTCCATAATAACATAATAACGTCGATACACACGAATCTGTAACACAACTAACCAATTTACTCTCACAAAATGCACATAATTTATTATTTACAAAAGATGTATATACAAAACTTAAATGTATGTACAAAACAATCAATCAGTTTTCGCATAAACTAGTTTATCTTTTGGTATACCTACTAGCAAATGATTTTTTAGTGTGCACGTTTCTGGAACAAGTTTTGCAAGGTGAACTCTGTAGCCGAACTGTTCGGCGAACAACTTTCTATCGGTGTCTATAATCGTCATGCATCTGTAGCCTTGCTTCGTTTTGCTATTTTGTTCGTCGTGCGTCTGATCCGCGGCGTGACTTAAAAATGAGTATTCCTTGTTGCTGATATGGTTTTTGAAAACATCGCTTCGCGGATACGTCAGCTGATGACAATCCTGCAGCGAGCCGTAGCAGCACGGACAGCTCACGAAAATCGCGTTCTTTTGTATGCAACGTTGAATAACCAAATCCGTCGCTACGCCGCAAGCGTGCAACGACGTACCGATGTTGAAATCTCCTTTGAAGTAATCCAAGTTACACTGACAAAATTTCACATTCTTCAACTTAAGTCTTTGCACCCTCTGCTTCGCTCTGTTCAGAGACTCTTCCTTATTCTCCAACAAAACGATCGTGCAGCGAGGTAATAAATATGCTATCAATATTCCTAAATGTCCGCTGCCTGAGCAGAAATCTACGATAGTGTCACCAGGCTTAGCTACCTTCAAAACGGATTTGCACAAGTTCTGTAGCTGCTCTTGTTTGCGTTGCAATCTTGCTGGTGGCAATGAGCCGCCCTCCGGCGTGGCATCGAAAGGCACAACGGACCAGTCCAGATCTATCTCAATGCCAAACGGTTCGTCTTCCAGCTTCAGAGAAATTTTCACGTCTTCGATCAATCGCAACGAGTGTTCTATATCTTCTTGTCTTGTGTAAATACGACTTCTCGGTTTGTATCGTTTGGGATCGCTCTTATATAAACTTTCGTTCACTACAACTGGAAGGCTATACTGGAGTGCACTTGGATTGTGGTTCTTCAGCGAAGGTAGACAGCTAAGGCATTTTACTATAAACTGATCTGCCAGCATTCTGTCGTACCACTTAGTTGTCAGAGGCACCAATTTTGATATCGTCTGGCTTGAAAATGTATTCAATAAGTTATGCATGCACACGAATATGATTATATCTGCTAATGTTATACACGCGCCTTCCGCGTACGTGTGTTCCGGTAAACCTGTTTCATTCTGTGTGGCTATATTGAGCGAAGCGAACTTCTTGCACATTGTGTACTTGTATAAGTTGTGCAGTCTAACCGGCTGAGACATATGACATTCAAATCTCGCTAAACTAACGGGCAGCTCGGACTTCTCCAGGTTCTTTAAATTCAAAGATTTCAAAGTCAGAATTAAATCGACCTCGCAGAATTTAGTCCACACACTTGCCTCGGAGCACGCCATCAAACAGGAACCTTTGAACCCTAATAGCTTAGTACAGTAATGCATCGAATATTCCGCACTCGCATCTTTTACAATCTGCCTCAAAACTGTGCACAAACCAGCCACACAACTATCCTCATTTATAGCGACGTTTGGTAATTCACATAAACTTGCGTAAGTAGGTATTTTATCCGTATTTACAATCTCGTACGCAAAATTTGTGAGATCTATCATGTACGCTCGTTCAGTTAAGTCCTGTTTACTTGGGATCAGTTTTATAGTAATTGAGGATTTGCAATACTTTATAGTAAACAGAGTCACTATTGTTTCTATGGGAGCAAGACACAAGTCTGCTATAGAATATACAGCTAAATAAACTTCATTCATATTTGCGTCTTGAATATAAAATATAAAAATATAAAACATACAAATATGTGTTGAATCTCAACTCACATCGCACTCACACACTTATTCGCAATTGTTTTGCTATTTTTTTGATCATCCTATGCCTTAATATATTCTCTCTCCAATATGTACTAAGACAAGAAATAACTGCCAGAGCAAACATAAAAGCCTCAAACTTCCAAAATGTTCTTTCCTCCAGCCAAGCTACTTTATCACAACTGAAAAATAAATGCATAAAAATACATAGCATTTATAAAAGAACTTATCAAATCTTATCATACATATATTAATTTTACCTTCTTGTTATCGTCTCCCCACTTTTGCATTTCAGAACTTCTTTGTACCTTGCGTGAACACACACGCCGATGCTTTCGCTTGCAATTTCAAAAGCTGTGCACGGGTGACATTCGGACATTATCTCGTAATCATCACCCGAGATGCACGAGGAAGTATTCTCAAAACTGTCAACATATAATTTACTTGAGCTGTCGGTCCAGTGGCTTTCGATAATCAATGCTAAAACTGTTAATCTATAAAAAAAAAACAAGTCAAAAACTTTATTACGACACTACTTTTCACGTCATTACATGTATACACACAACTCACAAAGAATTGTTAAGTTAGGTTAGATTAGATCAGTATAGAACCACTAATTTGCTTTGTGCGAGCTTACACTAATCATCAACAAATCATTCGATAGAGAAGAAAAATGTAAAAATTACAACTAACCCTCCTAAAAATGTAATACCTAATAACATTCGCCTTTTTGTGCAAGATTCAATCATATTTCGAACGTATGGCTTTTCCTCGGTTCACAATGATTCACAAACATGGACTTCACAAACAAATCTTTTATTAGGTTAAAATCAGGGCAGACAATTCCTCTCACGTTAAGCTTATGTCACACTACGGATTTAGATTGAAATTGGATTGCAATTTGGTCAATCAGAGCGAAGATCAGTAAACTTAGGATTGGTTTTCTTTCTTCTGATTGGTCAAATTTCAATCCAATCTCAATCTCAATCCGTAGTGTGACATAGGCTTTAGGGACATTGACTTCCAAGAGTTCTTCGAACAGTGATACTGCAATTTCTCAATAGACTTGATTGGACAGATCTATAAGTATACACGTACACATCAATCAGATTCAATAATCATTCATTATTTACCACGCTCTTTGTTCTGCCAAACGTAACTATTATTGGACACTCATCGCGCATATATGTATGTACATATGTAAGATGTGTAAACAAAAATTTCAACCATAATGATCGAACAAGCACCTCACCGACATTACACATCGTAATTGGATACTTTATTTCAATTACGCGATAGTAATTAAAATTTCTCTTGTGTATATATATATATGTATATATATGTATATATATATTGTGACGTGGTAGCCGCGCCGCTCCTCCCTCGCCACAAAAGGCTCTCATGATCGCGGGAGTCCGGGGGTGCGAACCGTCAGGGACGCGCCAAGATCCTCCAGGGCTTGCTTGCGTGCGTTAGACTTAATTGCTTATT